TTCACGTTTGCTAACGCACAAGTTTGACCATTAATATCTTTCATTCCATATTAGTAAAAAATTTAAAAAAAATCATATTTTGAAAATTTAGAATGAGAAGAATGTAACAATATTTTTTAAAAATTTAATTTATAATACATTAATTAATAAAATATAGTCAAAGTAGAATATGCGAATAGTGCAAAAAGTCCAATGTTGCAATTAAAAGAGAATGGAGGTAGTACTATAGTTACTATGCATAGTTGTTATACCGATAGATTGAACACAATCATGGTCACTAAAATTACCATTGTAGTTACGACGTCTTATTGTTGTCCACTATCTTTATTTCAATCATATTGTCATTATTTCAAAAAACTCTAAGATATATAGGACTCCATCGAAAACATAACAATTGTAGTAAGATATAGTAGAATAAATTATAAACAACCACGAAGTTGTGATGGAGCAAATCCTTATGGTTAGACATGTTGATATGGTTACTTTACTTTCTTTGAAAAGTAGCATTGATGATTTTCTTACTCTGTAAATAATGTTTGTCCAAAGTTAAAGCTCAAAAATATGACAAGAGTTTCTAATATGTAGGATGAACTTAATAGATTGAAGACTTTTATCTTGAATAAAAGTCTATACATGAAAAAATGTATCAATTCACGATTAATTAGTTTCAAACCAACACTCTTTGAATTTTTTATCTATATAGAATATACAACAACAATAACATTCAAGTTTTGAATCCTTTGATTCCAAAAGAATTTGGGGTATATTTTATCTATATAGAACATATTTATATAAAATGATAAATGTTAGATACATAGAATCATATTATTAAATAATATTAAAGGATGAAATCATAAACATGATTTATAATACCTCCATCTAATTGAAATGTTCTCACACCAAAACGACACGGTTATTTAGACAATAATTAAATAAAGTACTTCGAGTATATTTTAAGAAATAATTTTAATAGATATATATTAAAATGTAATTAGTATTAATAATTATGATGTTATAAATGTATTATTTTTTATATTTAATGATTAATTTGTCATTTAAGCTTGTTAATTATTTCCTAAAATAGAAATCAGAACCTTTATATAGAATGTCCAAAAAAAGAAAGTGGGAACCTTCTAATGGAACGGGGTAATTCATTTTTAACACAATAGTATTATATTCCAGACAAAGTATCAACAAATTTTGTGGCACAATGTGTAACATTCAACATGATTCTAGTTCAGACATGAAATCTTGATCATTTTATAGTATGAAAAATAACAAGAATTCTAATGTAAAATCAGAAACGGCGCAAAGATGAATCATTGTTTATCCAAATTCATATCTTTCTTTCAAAAAACCATATATATTACTCCGTATTTAGAATTGTCTTAATAAGTTCAAAATTAGACTTATAATCCATATATGTCCATTGTTTGAAATCGGCATTGAATAATCTATTTCCAGATAAAAATAATAATTTGAACGCACTTGGAAAAAAAGACTAATGATACACCCGATTCGACCAGACCATTGCTTGAACGTCCATTTCCATCTGTACGGGAGTGCCCCTGCTTCAGAAAAGTTTTGGGCCCGCCACGGGATATGATCACTTCACATACATCACACACTCAAGTTTGGTCTAAAATCCGCAGTGTTGATGAAAGCACTAGTGAACTCATCCAGACAAGCCATGCGGATCCGCTCAGGTGTGGCCGGATTATCGAGCACAAACCAACCATTAAAGCCAGTTTCTGCTCTTGCTGATGCAATGGCATCTTTAATAGCAAAAAATACGGATGAGGCAAGAAAGAAGGGTGGCTCCCCTACAGCTTTTGAGGAATGGATGGCCTTCGTATTTGGAGCGTCCTGTGAATAACGTTTTAACAAATATAATTGTACCACATGTATTTAGGGTATCCATCCATACTAATACCAATAATGAACAGCGGGAGACTTACTTTTAAAAGAGAAACATTGAATTTGAAAGGAACATCATTCACAGAAGGGATTTTGTACGTTCCTGGTCCACATGTGAGTAGACATCCAGATGGAATCCATTTGTGGGCTGGATCCCCCCATTTTAGCTCCTCTAAGGCCACCCAGCCCAATCCTTGTACAAAGGCTCCCTCGATCTGTAAGTGCAACCAACAACTACTAAGAACGCTTTGATATAACTGTTTTTTTAGTCTGAACCCGGTCCTGACCAAGACCAGCCAAATAGATTTAGTAAAGTCCTGGGTCCAGTAAATTGACTGACTATAGCTTGATAACAAAGAAGCACAAACAACTTAGTGAGCCATTTTGCTTTAATCCATCATATTCTCAAGCCAAAAATAATGAGTCTTTGGCTCCATTAATCTCTAGTTGTATACTTGTATGTAAGAGATAATTACCTAATGTATGACTATAACATCAACATTTTCCCTAAATCTAACCACCTTAGTTTTATTCCCAAATATGAATTACTTTGTATTATTTTAAGAAGTCTAATTAAAATGTACTTTTATTGGGTCTAAAAAGCTCTTGTATTGTCTCTCATGAGTGAATGAACCGTCAATAAGATTTGTACGTGAGCCATGCTACTGTCAGATGGCAGATCACAGGAGAATTGAGAAGGAGGCCATGCAATTGATTTGCACTGCAGCAACTCTTTTTCCGTCATCTCTCGCTTACTCTACAATTTGTTCTACAATTTAGAGTCAGGGATATTCACATTAATATGCAGAGAAGGCAACTGCAGTTTCAGAGCATAGAAAATATTGAGAGGTTGTCTACCATATGGCAGCCATTGAAGTAGATATAAAGAAAGCCCAATGCTTGAAGAATGAAGAGGAGCGTCTATAAGGGAAGATGTCTGCGACTCTGCTGTGAATCAGAACACTTGACAATGCATTAGAAGCGTAGGACACCGAACCAGAGGTGATGGACAAGTGAATCAGAGACATTGGACAGTGAGTAGGACTCAACATGCAACGAGATAGACACTGAAGACAATGCCTTGTCACGATGGGCATTGAAGATGACTATGGAGAGGTGCTTATGGACATGTGAGATGGTCAGGTGGGCATTGAAGATATCAGTGGGCCCGGGAGGCGGTGAAGTGGTTTGAGAGGTGGGGGTGAAAATGGTCCAATGGTGGATAAGGACAGTGGTAACAATGGTGAACAGGGCATTGACATCGGAGGCAGCGATAATGCAGCCAGATAATTAGGACATTGGATGAAAGGCACATTAGAATAAAAAGGATTATATGTCTCGATATTATGTCAAGCCTTGTTGATTTCAACGGTCATGTGGAACACAACGACGTAAATTTTCCCATTATATAATGTCATGTTTCCCTTTTTGGGGAGATATATGTGGTTCTTATCATTTCACTTTATTCTAATCAAATATCAACCACAACTTTTACTTTTCAACTCCTTTATTAATAATTGTGTCAAATTGAAATAAGACAACCAATATGGGACGGAGGTAGTAACATTTATCGTACGCAAATTTGTTTTTTTATTCGATGGAACTTCTAGTATAGTTTCTCAATATGTAGATTTCGCTAATATAGATAGTATCCACGAAGCACGGAAACTCTTGGAAAAGATTATGTTTCTGTTTCGGAAACTCTCCAAACACTTTTAATTAGATGGAGTTTCCCGTTTTACGTTTCCACACGTTCCCTACGTTTCCCCATGTTTCCCACGTTTCCGTGCAACATAGGATGGAAGAGTTAACTTAATCATTGTAAATCAATAGGAGATCCTCAAAGTGAGATGGAGGGTGCACAGTACCAAAGCATTCGCTAATGAGCACAGCATCCTCAAAATTAAAACCCTCCCACGGCATATAGGATGGAAGAGTTAACTTAATTATTGTAAATCAATAGGAGATCCTCAAATGAGATGGAGGGTGCACAGTATTTAAATGAAACAAATGTGTATCTTAATATAAAACTAATGATGAATTAAATTTTCCAACCCGGCCCAAATTTTTTTGCTCGTTGGTCCAGAAAGTTGTTTGTTGTTGGTCTCTGGTCCAGTTTTTTAGTTCTCAGTATTTAATCCGATCTTGGACCGATGAACACTCCTAAGAAAACTCTAATATCAACAATGCTAAGATTCGTATATCAATAAGTACATAGAACATTCAGAAGGGGTCAGAATATTAGAAAGAACCTGTCCAATATCAATCGCAGGATTAAGAGAGAAGCCAAGATCCAAGATAACATCTGCTCTCCTAGTGTGGAAATCTCCTGTTAATGCATCAATTTCAACTTCAGCAAATGCAGCCCCATAGGTGAAGTATCTGAATGGGGTTCCTTGACCAGTTTTCCAGTCAAAGCCGATATCAGGAGTGATGAAAAATCCGTGAGCAGAGAGGTCTACTCTCTCCAGATAGCATGCAATCACCATCTAAAATATTATCCACACAGATTACCGTCCCATACCCATCACGAAAGTAGCATATCAACCGAAATGAAGGTACATACTATTTAAGGCATTCAGGATTATCTAATCATTAATAGTGGGAACACAAAATACCTCGCCGAAAGAGTTGAAATTACGCTTGGATGTGATTGGCTCCATTCTTGCTTTTATTTGTTCACAAGCATCTAAAACTGCAGCTCCATACATATCAGAGCTTGCAGAAGCTGCTGTTGCTGATGAATTGGGAACCTTGAATGATCAAGAGACACGAGGGGAATTTATCAGCCATTAGATGGGGAATGCATTACAGGAAAGAGTTGCAGCCACTACTAAATAGTCCCAAACAAGGGCTAAAACCCATAGCCGATACAATGATCTACTCTTTTAATCCATACTCCAATAGTCCAATCCCAACCAAAGATCTTAAGCCATTTCCCCCTCTTTAAAAAAGGAGGGGGTGAAGAAACAAATATGTAGGGTCTGTTTGAAACCAAATGCTAGGGAGCAGAAAATTAGAAGAGAAGAAAACCTGAGGGCCCAAATATTTAAATTTTTTTATGTATGCGTATATTTTTTTTGTGTGTGTAGGGGAGGGAGGGTTCAAATACAAAAAGACCTTCTCATGCACTGATAGGGATGCAGCTAAACCGAATAAAGAGGATAAATACTTTGGCAGGGTCTATTCTAGGAGGAGTAAATAGAATAGTTAGTTGTTAGTTAAATTCTGTTATTAGCTACTAACTACATTCGGTTAAGCTGGGAGCCTATAAATAGAATAAGTCTGGGAAGGGAGAGCAGACAGTTTAGTCTGGACTGGGATGATTGAGACTCATCCTCTCTTTCTTTGGGGCTTCGGTGTAATCTTGCTCACCATTAATAAATCTTTGGTTTGTTCTTGAATACTATTACATCTTTTCTGTATCTTCTTGTATACCTTGAGATTGTTCTATCAGTGGTATCAGAGCACATTGATCGCTGGATGATCTTTACGCGTGCCAAAATGGAAGGAAGAATGAATGAACTGGAAAAGAATCAACGGGAAACAGCAGCAGCGACAGCGACTATAGCGACGACCATGGCAGCTATGCAAGCTAGCCTCGCGAACATGGAGCAAAGGATTCAAAACCGTTCACGAAGTAGATCGCATGCCTCGTCTGCGTCGCATCGCACTTCGCAGTATCATCATTTGCGAAAGTCGGCGAGTCCAGTGGAGTCGGAGGAGAATTCCGGTTACTCACCTCCACATTGCAATCGCTATCATAACAGGAAGCTTAATCATCATCAGCGAACAGGAAGAAAAGTTGATTTGCCTCTAGCATTTTTTGATGATTGGTTTATAGTAAAAATCAAAAGAGGAGCATGTAGAGCATTTAAGGAAGGTACTGCAAGCTTTAAAGGAGAATAAATTGGTAGCCAATTGGAAGAAAGGCTCCTTTGGCCAGAATCAGTTGATCTACCTGGGCCACATAATTTCTGAAGAAGGGGTCTCTGGAGATCAAGCATTGAAGCCTGCAGGACTGTTACAGCCATTGCCCATTCCTGATCACATCTGGACTGACATCAGTATGGATTTTATTGATGGGTTGCCTAAATCTATGGGCAAGGATACTATTTTGGTGGTGGTTGATAGGCTGACAAAATTTGCACACTTCCTGCCTTTAGCTCATCCTTTTAATGCTAAGGAAGTTGCTGAGCTATTTATACAAGAAGTGGTGAAGATACATGGATTCCCCGAGTCCATTGTTTAAGTACAGTACTGCTTATCATCCCCAGAGTGATGGGCAGACAGAGGTGATGAACAGATGCTTGGAGACCTATTTGAGATGTATGACTGGCAGGAAACCCAAACAATGGGTGAGGTGGTTACCATGGGAAGAATTTTGGTATAATGCCAATTATCACATATCCCTGCACCATACACCCTACCAAGCCCTATTTGGTCAAGAACCTCCTATCATAGTCAGAGGGGATGTCAGTTTGACTTCAGTGGCTGAAGTATCCAGACTAACAGCTGAAAGGAATGAGATACTCAAGGAACTGAAATAAATTTAGCTAAGGCTCAGAATCAGATGAAGCAGCAAGAAGATAAACATAGAAGAGAAGTAAAATAGAGGTTGGAGACGGAGTGTTCTTGATGATACAACCTTACAAAATGAAGAGCTTAGCCAAGAGAATTAATCAGAAATTAAGCCCCGGGTTCTATAGTCCCTATGAGATAATAGAGAAGATAAATCATGTGGCATTCAAGCTTAAACTGCCAGTGCATAGTCAGATTCATCCTGTTTTTCATATATCCCTATTGAAAAGGTGCTGAAACCTACAACTACCTACCAAGATCTTCCTAAATGTTTGAAGAAGAAGGTGAATTGCTGGTGATGCCTGAGGAGGTGTGTGAAAGTATATTAGAATATACTTTAGAATATGCTATAGAATATATTAGGAATATACCATAGATATTATTATTTTATAGAATCTTATATAGGAATATTCTATTTGTAATGTATATTTATAGGGACTTCCACAACTAATGAAATACACAAAAAAAACCTTCTCTCCATCTTTAATATCATTGTAGTTTATATTTCAACATGGTATCAGAGATTTCCATTTTAGTTTAGTTCTTCAGATTTCAGTTTAATTTTCAGACTGGATTCTTCCTTCAAGGAACTTGAGTTCAGTTCTTCAGATTCTTCAGAACCTCTAGGCACCATTCTAATTTCCCAGAAAATCAATTAGCCTGAGCTAATTTCCTAGAAAATTCCTTAGCATAGAGTCTGCCCACCAGACCTCAGAAATTCTCAGACCACACATTTCATCACCACCGTGCACAGGTGGTGCGGCTGCCTCCGACGACCCAGAAACCAAAGTCCGACACCCAAACTCTACGTGACTGAGTCGTACGCGCCGCCACAGCTTGGTGACCTCAAATCACGCGTCGGCACGTGACGTTCATTCTGTGGCCAGATTTCCAATCGGAACACGCCAACCAGCTCGCCTGCATATCGCCTATCTTCTGCTGTAGCGTCTCTTTGGGATGGTTGCGTTTCGTTCGAGCTCTTCAGTACGCTGACATCGAAAAGAGACCGTCCAGGCTACGCGGAAATCTTGTTTCTTCCTTCCAGGCTTCATAACGGACATACGCACGCTCCTTTGTCTGGCTGTTCTTCGTTAGGGTCTGGCACTCTGGCATCGATCTTTTATTCTCCAGGTCGAGTCTACAAACGGGCTGCTCAGTCAAAGCCCAATCAGTTGGATCTTTTATTTTCCAAGGTGAGTCCACAAACGGGCTGCTGTAAGTTCTCATTGGATATCTCAATTTTGGAATTCATGACATTCTCATAAAAATAGAAAATAAAAAAATTAAAAAAAAAAACAGAAAAAAAAAACAAAAAAAAATGTCTTGTATGGGTCAATTTGACAGAGTAATATGCAATTACTGCAAGAAGCCCGGGCACTTGATTAAAGAATGTAGAAAATTGCTGTTCAAAAATCAAGGAAATCAGCTAGCTCATGTTGCTTCCGCTACCAGTTCATCTGATGGAACAATTGTTATTTCTTCAGACGAGTATGCCAAATTTATTTGCTACCAAGAATCACTAAAGCATTCATCTGTCCCTACTTCGGTAGCTGCTAATTCAGGTATTTCAAACACATGTCTTGTTTCCTCATCCTCGAAATGGGTCATTGACTTAGGTGCCACAGATCATATGACTGGTAATCCTAGTCTATTCTCATCATTTCATTCATATTTACCTACTTCTAGTGTCACTTTAGCTGATGGATCTACCTCACCTGTTCTTGGATCCGGTACTGTTGTCCCAACTTCTACATTACCATTATCACCTGTTTTGAGTCTTCCTAATTTTGCATTTAATCTGCTTTCCATCAGTAAAATCACACGTACTCTTAATTGTTCTGTAACATTTTTTCCTGGATATTGTGTGTTTCAAGATCTGTTGACAAAGCAGACTATTGGTAAAGGACATGAGTCAACTGGTCTTTATATTTTGGATACGTCAATCACAAAAGGTATCTCTTGTCTTGGGGTTGGAAATCTATTAGAAGCTCATTACCGTTTAGGACATCCATCTCTCCCACTAATGAAGCAAATATATCCTCAGTTTAAAAAGGTGTCATCTATACAATGTGAGTCGTGTGAATTTGCAAAACATCATCGGACTAGTTTAAGTCCTCGACTTAATAAACGAGCAAACGCTCCGTTTGATCTTGTTCATACTGATGTTTGGGGGGCATGTCCTGTTGTGTCCAAATCTGGTTTCAAATATTTTGTTACATTTGTTGATGGTTATTCTCGTATGACTTGGTTATACTTTATGAAACGCCGATCAGAGTTATTTACTCATTTTTCTGCATTTTGTGCTGAAATTAAAACTCAATTTAATGTTCCTGTTCGTGTGTTGAGGGGAGACAATGCCCAAGAATATCTCTCTGCTCCATTTAAATCTTTTATGCTTCAAATTGGCATTATTCATCAAACTTCATGCGTAGACACACCTCCTCAAAATGGAGTCGCTGAAAGAAAGAATCGACATCTGTTAGAAACTGCAAGGGCTCTTCTATTCCAAATGAATGTGCCTAAACAGTTTGGGGCGGATGCCGTGTCTACCGCATGTTTTTTGATAAACCGTATGCCGTCTTCTACTCTTCTGTTTTAAACGGTAAAGCTCCTTATCACTGCTTATTTCCAAATAAAGAGCTTTTTCCTATCCCACCTAAAATATTTGGTTGCACTTGCTTTGTTAGAGACGTTAATCCTCATCTTACAAAGTTAGACCCCAAATCATTAAAATGTATTTTCTTGGGTCACTCTCGAGTTCAGAAGGGGTATAGATGTTTTTGTCCAAGTACAGGTCGATATCTTGTTTCCATTGATGCATCATTTCATGAAAATACACCTTTTTCATCATCCAAGACAGATATTCATGGGGACAATGATGAAATACTCATTTACTCTGTCACTATATCGGAATCTACACCTTCTATAGTTATTCCACATGTTAATGTTCCTGACCCCAGACCTCCAGTACACTTGGTTTACACCCGTCGAAACAAAGCACCAGATCACCCTCCACCAGTGACACCTGTGATTACTTATCCTGATATTGGTCCGTCCTTGATCTCATGTCCTGAACCGGTACATGCATCTTCAGATCTTGTCTCTACATTAGATCTTGACCTTCCGATCGCACTACGTAAAGGTACACGGTCTTGTACTCATCCTATTTCTTCATTTGTGTCGCATAGTCAGTTATCCCCTGCCTCATGTTCTTTTATTGCTTCCATCGATTCTATTTCTGTTCCCAAATCTGTTAAAGAAGCTTTGTCTCATCCTGAATGGCGTCATGCCATGGTAGAGGAAATGAATGCTTTAGATCTTAATGGTACATGGGATTTGGTTGACTTGCCTGCATGGAAGAAATCTATAGGATGCAAGTGGGTCTTTGATGTTAAGGTTAACCCAGACGGATCTGTTGCTCGGTTGAAAGCTCGATTAGTTGCGAAGGGTTATGCTCAAACCTATGGTGTTGATTATTCTGACATTTTTTCTCCTGTTGCTGAATTAATTGGACATTAAAAATGCATTCTTGCATGGTGACCTTCAGGAAGAAGTTTATATTGAGCAACCTCCGGTATTTGTTGCTCAGGGGGGTATGGGAAAGATTGTCGACTTCGCAAATCTCTTTATGGTTTGAAACAAAGTCCCCGTGCATGGTTTGGAAAATTCAGTCAATCAATTGAACGATTTGGCATGATAAAAGGTCAATCAGACCACTCTGTCTTTTATAGACGAACGAAAGCAGGTATCACATTGCTTGTGGTGTATGTTGATGATATTGTGATTACAGGGAATGATATTGCAGGTATTTTGGCTCTTAAGAATTTTCTTCATAGCCAATTCCAGACGAAAGATCTAGGCTCATTGAAATACTTCTTGGGTATTGAGGTAACACGAAGCAAGAAAGGCATATTTCTATCTCAACGCAAATATGTACTTGACTTGCTAGCTGAAACAGGGAAACTGGGGGCAAAGCCGAGCAATACTCCTATGATTCCTAATGTACAACTTACTCACGAAGGTGTGCCATTCGAAGATCCAGAGAGATAGAAGATTGGTTGGAAAACTTAATTATCTCGCAGTTACCCGTCCAGATATTGCATACTCGGTGAGTGTAGTGAGTCAGTATATGTCATCTCCCACAGTTGATCACTGGAATGCTGTAGAACATATATTATGTTACTTGAAGGGGACACCAGGACGAGGTATTGTTTATCAAAATCATGATCACATGAGAATAGAATGCTTTGCAGATGCTGATTGGGCTGGATCTAAAGATGATAGAAGATCTAGATCTGGCTATTGCGTCTTTGTTGGTGGTAATCTTGTCTCCTGGAAAAGTATGAAGCGGAATGTGGTTTCTCAATCTAGTGCCGAATCAGAATATCGTGCTATAGCACAATCGGCATGTGAGATAATCTGGATAAACCATTTATTGAGTGAAATTGGATTGAAGACACCAATGCCTGCTAAAATGTGGTGTGACAACCAAGCTGCTATACACATTGCCAACAACCCAGTTGATAGAGTATATATCTAGAGAGAAGTGAGAGCTAGAGAGAGAAGTGCAAGTAAATGCTTCAATAGAATGATTTTGTAACCCCTACAACTACCTCCAGAGGAAGTATTTATAGGAAAAATACGGGCTGGGCTCCCAAGCCTTGGGCTTGGGAGGCCCATTTACAACTGGACCGCTATTGGGCCGAATACAAAGTAAATGATGGGATATATAAATGAATGTGTAAAATCTAGTTCTGCGAGACCTCCGTGGCCGACGAGGGTCTGGCCGACGAGGGCACGGCCGATGAGGACACCCTGGTTCCCTGGCTTCAGGATCATATTCTGAGTCGGTCCCTCTTGGGCCAACGAGGGTCCTTTGGCCGACGAGGGCACTGCGTAGTGGCTTGTGCTTTCTGTTCTTCTGAGTATGTGGGTCGTGGGGCCTAGACCCATATACTCCATCACCAGTGTTTCATGAGAGAACGAAACATATTGAGGTCGATTGTCATTTTATTCGAGAGAAGATACAAAAAGGATTGATCTCTACAGGATATGTGAAGACCGGGGAACAACTTGGAGATTTGTTCACTAAAGCACTAAATGGAATTCGAGTTGGTTATTTATGTAACAAGTTGGGCATGATAAATATCTATGCTCCAACTTGAGGGGGAGTGTGAAAGTAGATTAAAATATGTTATAGAATATATTAGGAATATACCATAGATATTATTATTGTATAGAATCTTATATAGGAATATTCTATTTGTAATGTATATTTATAGGGACTTCCACAACTAATGAAATACACAGAAAATCCTTCTCTCCATCTTTAATATCATTGTAGTTTATATTTCAACAAAGTGAAAGATGTCAGATTCAATCCTTAGGGAAAAAGAAGTCTTAGTGCGTTGGAAGGACCTTCCTGATTTTGAAGATTCTTGAGGACAAGTTAAGTTTTCAAAGGGGGGGTATTGATAGGGATGCAGCTAAACCGAATAAAGAGGATAAATACTTTGGCAGGGTCTATTCTAGAAGGAGAAAATAGAAAAGCTAGTTGTTAGTTAAATTCTGTTATTAGCTACAAACTACATTCAGTTAAGCTGGGAGCCCATAAATAGAATAAGTCTGGGAATGGGGAGCAGGATGTTAGACAGTTTAGTCTGGACTGGGAAGATTGAGACTCATCCTCTCTTTCTTTGGGGCTTTGGCTGTAATCTTGCTCACCATTAATAAAGCTTTGATTTGTTCTTGAATACTATTACATCTTTTCTGTATCTTCTTGTATACCTGGAGATTGTTCTATCATGCACAGTGACAATAAATCTTGTGCATTCAATTCAGGATCTAATGGCTCAAGATTAGACAACAATGCACTAGAATTGATCAAAAACACGGTGACAATATCCTAAAGCTTTTTGCCACCGCGAAAAAGCGAAACAAAAACAAGAAATAGTGCATCGTATTGAGCGAAAAGTGCAACCGTTCACACTGTGCACGGGAACATCACTTTTTATTTGAACTCTCCCCTATATATATACATATATTGATATATATAGAGAGAGACTAGAGAGAAGTTATCTCCTGAGGCAGTCGGCATGGAGGTCGCTGTCCGGCCAAGGCCATTTTGGGGCCCTTCTCGGTAGAATTTTTCGATGAAAATTTTTGAGCATGTTCTTCATCAAGTGTAGGTTATCTCCACAAAATTTCAGCTTAAAATTCAATCGGGAAGTCAGATAAATAAATTATCGAAACATAATGTGCTTTATGTTTCGATAATAAAGCATATTGTTCTTCATAAAACACAGTAAGTTTCGATAATTTATTTAACTGACTTCCAGATTGAATTTTAAGCTGAAATTTTGTGTAGATAATCTAGACTTGATGAAGAACATGCTCAAAAAAGTCATCAAAAAAATTCACCTAGATGGTCACTAAATGGGCTTGGCCGGACGGCGGCCTCCGTGCGGACCACCTGATGAGAAAAGTTCTCATATTTTTTTGTGAAACCGGTAAGCAAACCACCCATCAGTGGGCGTATATAGTTAGTTTAGGAGGAGGGAGTGTGAGTACGCATATATACACATAAACATATATAGTTTTATATAGTACGTATATAATTATATACATATATATAATTATTTAATTAAACATATAATTAAATATATAATTATATTATATATTATATATATAAAAGAATATATATATATATATAATTATATATATATATATGTAGGGGAGGGTTCAAATACAGAGAAACCTTCACATGCAAAGTGAGAATAAATATTGTGCATTCAATTTCAGATCTAATGGCTCAAAATGAACTAACAATGCACTAAATTTGATAAAAAAAACGTGGTGGCAATTCCGTAAATAAACCAAAGTTTTTCCCCACTGCGAAAAAGTGCAACAGAAACATGCAATAGTGCAACGCGTTAGGGGAAAAGTGCAATTGTTCGCACTTTGCACAGGAACACTGCTTTTGTATATACATGCACACTCACATTCTATCCTCCTAAACTAACTACATACTTCCTTTTCGTCTATCCCAAAATTATTGCCCATTTCTTTTTAAGGAACATGCGCCCATTAAAAGGACAACACTCACCAACAACATTCAAGCCTTATTCTCAATAGATTTTCGGGTCGACTAAACTATGTGGTTTAAATTTAACTACATAGTGTTGTCCTTTCAATGGAGGACACTGAACAGAAGATAAGGAAATAACTTCTCTTACCGATTTCCCCCCCTTTCCCTAGCATTTTCCAGAACCCAAACACACCCGTAGAATGAAGATAAAAATACATGCAACTTGAGGTTCACTCTTTTATCAAACTGCCACATAAAAGTTGAGCTCTAAGGTCCGTTTAGAACTCAAAAATGCCAGAAAGAAAATAGGACTGAAAGTATATGATAAATTTGGAAGGGAAAAATGAGGGGAAATAAAACATTTGTTCAAACTTCAAACTAATTTAGTATTGTTATTTCCTCTTTATTAATCTGCTTTATTATACAAAGATGGAAAAGATCTAAACTCATTTCAAATTTTAAAGAAAATTGCCATATTTCACTTTCCTCTGCATTTTCAGGAGTAAAGTAAAACACAAGAAAGAAAGTTTCTATACCACTTTTTCCTTCCCTAGCATTGTCAGAGATCCAAACATGCCCCAAAAGTAACAAAACAAATTAGCAAACACGGAATACCTTGTCTGTACTAGTCTCTGATATAAAAACTGCACTAAGTGGGATGTTAAAGGAAGATGCAGCAATCTGAGCAACTTTTGTGTGCAAACCTTGCCCCATCTCCACACCTCCATGAGTAACCAATACGGTTCCATCTGTGTAGACTTGAACAAGTGCACCTGCCTGCATTCAAATTATCTCAAATTCAATCATCTCCAAACATATGTTTGGTCCTGTTCCATGATGTGTGTGTTGATTATTTTTTCCCTAGCATTTTATTGGTTCCGAACACACCCTACAATATCAATGTTAGGGACCTACATAGAATAATAATAAATGAGAGTAATAATAATATTAGAATAGTTGGTATAAATAAAGGTGGAGGGGAGAATAGAAAGGAGGCTGGTATTATTTTGTTGGGCTGGGACTTGGAGAGTTGGCACTCTTTAAACTGCCTTTGTATTTCAATCTTTTCTGTTATACGACTGCTGCCATTGTTAGGCACATCTTCTCTTCTTCCTCTCTATTTTCTTGAATTACTCTGAAATTAGCTAGGTACCTAACATTGGTATCAGAGATGAAATCAGACTCTGAAGAGGATGTTAATCAACCTATGAGATTTTCATCAGACAATATGGAAGGTTCAGAAATACTTCAACCAGATCATTGTTTACCAAACAATAGTTTGGAAGGGCTGAATAAGATTGATGGCTTCAGATATGATAATGTTACTTCTATTAAGAACATTCAAGATAGATTGGGGGTAGGAAGTAGGAACTACTGGAAATTGGAAGAAAAGGGTGAGTTACTGAGTTATACTACTGATGGTTTCGCTGACGTGTTTCTGATGTTTGACTATGGAATCAATCCTGCTATCGTCCAAGAGGCCTTGATAATTGGTGAAAATGTAAAGAGAATGCCAAGACTTTTTATACCTAATCAAGAAACAGGTATAGGTTTGGACTATTGGGCTATAGGCCTGGAATCAAGACTTTTTATATCTTGGTGATCACACAGAAGAAAGTGAGACATATTAAAATGCTGCCTGTTGACCTCAAGCCTATAAGGGAAGGACTTCCAAAGTTTAAATTGACTTCTCAGCTGTTATTCTTGTTGAATGATCCTGATTTAGCAAATTCCTATTCTATGTCTAGAAGCCCAGCAGTTGAATTCCTTTTACATATAAGTGGCCCTTACAGGGAAATTGTTAGATCCTATCTTGATTCTTCCAGCCTCCAGCATCAACAAGGATTGAATGATTTTGGTTCTTTAAATATGTTGACTATTAGGAGAGAGGCTGTTCTTGAAGTTCATTCAATCATCTGGGTGTTGGAATCTGGTGTTGAGAACACAAATTGGTATTCATTGATCATCTACCAGGACCTACTGATGTCAACTATAATTTCTAATGACGACTTGATGAAAATTTTTACTCATGCTGTCTTGAGACTGAATTCAAATGCTTTGTCTTCTGGCCTGAGCTCTTGGTCCTGTTTTCGTAAAGGAAATGATACATCTAATAACTCAGGAGGGTGGCATGATGAGAATGCATACCACGTGAGTGGGTACTGCTATGTGCTAGTGGACAGTGATCAATGCATCTCAAGAGTTTCAATGTGTGATGTTCCAAGCAATGAAAATGAGGAGTCTGCTCTTGATTACCAGTTGAGTAAATTCAGTGTGGATCTGGACCCTATTATTCAGGCTGCTGTAATTGAGGTCTCCCAGAGGGAACAACTCGTGGATTTATCTGTAAAACCAGAAATTGTCAATGGAATGGAAGCTGAAGTAAATTTTCAACCTTATAAAATGGTCTTATGCTTCAATGATCCCGAAGTGAACTGTTCCAGTTGTGGAATTTTAATGGAATCCAAGCTAGATGATGATGTTGGAAATATAGAAATGGAGCCCTACTTGCTTGGAAAAATCTTTCAGGCTTCTTTCTCCTCACTTGAGCTAAGAAAGTTGGATGCGGATCCAGTTAGGGAAGCAAAGAGAATTCAGGAATGTTTCTCTCGGGGGCTGTTTGGAACACTGTTCACGCGCATATCAGAATTGTTTGAAGCAAACAAGAGGAACAGTTTTTTCCTTGAAAAAAATTTTGAGGTTAAAGATACTGAGGCTAGAGATATTGAAGGTATAGAGCAGATCCACATGGCCCCTATGTCACTTTTCAGAAATGGTGGGAGGGGTATAATTGTGGTTGCTACTCAATAAGGAAAAATCTATATTATAGTGGAGGTTGTTTCAGATAGCATACAATATTGTTCTCATAAAAAAGCATCACCAGTTCTTCCTGCAATTATAGATGACGTGGCCCTTGAGAACGGCTCTGTAGGGGATGTAGCACTTGATGCTGGCCAGGTTTTAGTGAAACATCATGTAACCATGCCCTTGCCTCAGCTGCTTGCTATGGAAAAAAAGATAGCAATGGTTCAGTTCATGAAGTTTGGGTCCTGAAATTTGGAAGATACTGGGAAGGAAGAGGCGCAAAGATGAGGAAGAAGCTGTTTGTAAGGACTGTCTCCTATCACCCACCTTGAGGACAAGGTGGTTGTCAAAGGGGGAGTAATGTTAGGGACCTACATAGAATAATAATAAATGAGAGTAATAATAGTATTAGAATAGTTAGTATAAATAGAGGTGGAGGGGAGAATAGAAAGGAGGCTGGTATTATTTTGTTGGGCTGGGACTTGGAGAGTTGGCACTCTTTAAACTGCCTTTGTATTTCTCTCTTTTCTGTTATACGACTGCTGCCATTGTTAGGCACATATTCTCTTCTTCCTCTCTATTTTCTTGAATTACTCTGAAATTAGCTAGGTATCTAACAATCAATCTCATTATGTACATGATAATAGCAACTCACTCCTGTGTCATGATATTTTACATGCAAGTAAGAAAAAATCTAGACAGCGACGGCTTTGAAATTTCATCACATTACCCATTCCAAAGAAGGTTATTATCGCAACGACCCCAACCTGAATGTGATTAAGGTGGTGATGATGATGATGACGATCTCCTGATATAACGATGATAGCCTATCAAAATCTGGCTAGTTACCTGATTCATGAACTTTGTTGTAAAAGATATCCCAAATTTTGTTGGAATTAAGGATATTCCTCGCTTCTTCCACCGATTGCCACAATTGAATTTTTCAACATCTTTACGAGCATTACCAAAGTCACATGAAGACTTCAATTCATTCCACAGACGTTCCAAGGTACAATCTTCAATCTTTTGGCTATAGTGTAAGACTGTGCCTTCTCTATGAAAATTCAGCTCCTGGAAAATGAAGAATAAAGGTTATCAATTTATGGGTGTACTCAAGGTTGTCAAAAACATAAGGCATCAAAGGAGTCGCATATCACACCCTAATTTCTTCAGGAGTTTTCTTAACCTCCACTGCAACTCTTTCAATCCAATTTTCAGTTATCAGCATACCCTGTGGACCTCCAAACCCTCTAAAAGCTGTATTACTGGGAAAGTTAGTGAAGCAGACTCTTCCAATAACTCTGATATTTGGTATCTCATAGACATTGTCTGAATGGAACATAGCCCGTTCAAGTATGGCTAATGATAGATCAAGTGAGTTTCCAGCATTATTGTAGATTTCAAGATCCAATGCAAGAACCTTCCCGTCATTCTTAAAGCCTACCTACAATAGTACTGATTTGTTATCAGATAAAACTGCATGGAGTGAAGAGATATGATGCAAATCACAATGAAGGTATGCCATATGCCAACCTTTTAAGTTGAGTGAGAAACAAAGGAGGTTATGTGATTTATTCATCTCTTCCCCATACCTAAAAAGTCTTTTTGTTTTAGGTGTATTCGAAAACTCCAACTGTGACTCTGTGAGTGCTTAATATACTTTATCTGTTCCAAAATGAATCACACTCGCATGGTACGTTCTTTAGTAATAATTTATATTAGTGGTAGTTAATAGAATGTATATTCCCATCCATTCTTGTTTAGTTGCAATACTTTGACTTATGTATTATTCATATGCACTACTTTGTCCATATATCCATATATGTCTCATGTATACAAAAACAATTATTTATATGCTTCTAAATTTATCTTAATGTATGTTTCAAAATACGAACTTCTTAGAATTTTTTAATAATAGATAATCGAAACATAATAATGATCAAAGTTGTGTGTTAGCAAATGTAAAGGTAAACTGGTCAAGTAGCTGCAACTAGAGGAGATTAGCATATACTTAGAAACTACACAGGAAGCTACATTAGGCTTTTAATTAAAGCCAAGAAAATCTGAATTCAAAAATTCTAAAAATAAGTGTTCTTAGGAAAGAAAAAGTCACTTTCACCATTCAATGAATACTACATGTATCATATGGGACAAAGTAATGTAATTTAACACTGCAAATAGCATATACTACCATAAGGAAGAGAAGTTATTGTAAATCAAATAACTCTCAAACAAGATCACACATGAAAATGTATTAAAGTGAGCAACAAGTACCCTATACTTCCCAAGGAAGCTATGTCGCTGTCCAGTTATCATCATATCCACATCTCGGTCCAATGTAATTTTTACTGGACGATTCAAAAGGTATGAAGGAACAGCAGCTACAGCAGCCACAAAAGCAGATCTAGTTTCCTTGCCTCCAAATCCACCACCTATTCTTTTGGTCTTACAAACCACTTTAGACATTGGAAGACCCAAAACATGAGAAACATACTTCTGATGTTTCTGAAGAGCCTGAAATATAAAAGCAGTTATTGGGAAAAAACTTCACAGAAATAAATAGGTTTAAATATGTTTTAGTCCCTGCAAATATGACACATTTTGTTTTAGGTCCCTGCAAAATATTTTGTTTTTTTTTCATCCCTGCAATATGCACTATTTTCTTTTTAGTCCATCTTTAATTCCGAAAACACTCTACTTACAAAAAAAAAGTTATTGTCGGTTACATAAATTTACTACAAATATTTAAATTTGTCCTTTTATAATTTTTTGAGGCTAATATGAGAGTTAAAATAATGTAAAACTAAGTACTCACATTTTAAAAATATATATTAGAAAACCTTCTAAAAATAAGATTAAATACTTTTTGAATAACATGACAAAGAAATAGAGGATATCTATTAATCGGGGTTATTTTGATGTCAAGCGGAGGTTTTTATCATCGACTAAAAATAAAATCAACACAAATTGCAGGGACGAAAAAACAAAAAAAAATTGTTGGGATCTAAAACAAAATGTACTATATTTGTAGGGACTAAAAACATATTTAAACCAAATAAATATTATACCCATTGATTGATAAGTAATACTTCCTCCGTCCCAAAGCAATGAATCATGTTTTCAGAAGTAATTCATGTCCCCATAAAAAAACTATTCAACAAAAACTGCTAACATATTTATTGGGGGACATTATATATATAAAGCGCAGTATGTTTCATTAAATAAATAAATAAATAAATAAATAAATAAATAAATAAATAAATAAATAAATAAATAAATAAATATGTAATTACATAGTGTACCTGATAAATAAACACATAGATAAATAAATGCATAGCTGTTCAATTTGAAAAGGATGAAGCATCAATATAAGAGACAGGGAAATCACATATTGCAAATCGATGTTATCTATGCATATTTAGAAAACAAAAATACAAACTTAAAAAAGAAGAGTTGAAAAACCTGTGTAGATGAGATCATGTGCACCTCATGACCACCGTCCACTGGCCATATTAGAGTACTTTGAGGCTCCAAGTAAAAGTGTTCCTGACCACCAACATGAACTTCTCCTTCAATAACCTTATCACACTGACCTGATTGAAAACATTGGTCAACATCCCCCTTTATCAAACACCTTTCGGTGTTTGGATGAAAACTATTGGCTTTGAGAGCATCCTTTATTGATAGAATTGCGGGCAGATCTTCATACTCAACACGAACCTTTCCAGCCGCAAGCTTTGCATTTTCGTGAGTGTCGGCAACAACCACTCCAATGACCTTCAATCAATAGATGTGAGGTGCATGAGTTAATCTTGAAAAAATCTTCAATGATACTCCACACACATTAACAATAATACTGTATAGAAATTATATAAGGCTTGATTGGTTCGGGAATTTTGGAGGGGAGGGAGGGGAGGATTGATTTTTTTACTAATTTATCTCTATTAACTGGCCCTTAGACTCAAAATAACTAAACATTTAATTGAATAATGTATTTATATAATTTTTCATCTTCCCTTTCTTTCCAAAAATGAATATCAGCCCCTCCTCCCTACTCTCTGAAAAACCCTGAACCAAACAAGCCCATAGTCTCCCTAAACTTTTACATTCAATATACAACAATATGCAGAACCAATCATACCTGACCTACACAAGTAACATATTCCACTGCAAAAAGTTCTTCATCCTCTATAACTGGCCCAATCATGTTGTTACATGGAACATCTTTGGCATAAAATATTCCAGCAAATCCAGGAAAGGCCTTAGCCTCTGAATCGTCTATTGAAAGTATGCGTGCATGCGGTTTTTTACTCAATAAGGGAGCGGCGTGTAAACTATTTGGAGGCATGGGCATGTCATCAGTATACTCTGCCTCCCCTGAAACCTGTGATCACACCAACCAAACTATCAGGGGCTACTTTAACATAAGAAACAAAGAAGGTATGTTTGGAGAATCAGTGAAAGCGGTTAAGCAAAATCTATTAAATTGTTTGTGTTTGCTTCTACTTTGAGAAGTGATTTATGTTAGAGATTATATGAAAAGTTCTTAATAATAAAAGTTGTTAGTGTTTGAATAGAAAAATGGTTTTGAAAAAGTAAAAGTTAGAGTGTTGGTCAATAAAGTATTTTTTGTGTAATAGAGAAAGTGAAAAGCAGTTAAAGCATCCGGTCCCTATTTTCAGCTTTTAGCTTTAAAGTGCTTAATTTAGGCAAAAGCACATGTTTGAAAACACTACTTTTAGCTTTTTCAAACAAGTAGCTGAAAAGGCACTTTTTTGAGTTTTTGTGAATACTGCTTATAATTTGTATTTGGCTGCTTTAAGAAAGTGATGGGCTTCCTGCTCAGAAAAACATATCATTTTCATGTAGAGTTCAAAAATCATTTCTTGTTAGAACTAACGCATGACTACAGTAAATTGAATCAACGTAATAAAGCTTCCGAAACAGTAATGCACCATCAATGAGAGTCACCGTACACAATAGTCCCAAAAGAGAAGAGAACCATTCTCTAATCTTCCCAGTCCCAGCTAACTGCCAACAGCCTCACTACACAAGTTTATTCTATTTATAGCCTCCCAAACCCAACCGAAGGTCGTTATTAGTAATAACAGTCAACAACTAATAACACTAACTACTTCCTCCTTCTAGAATAAACTTGGCCAAATCTTTTATTATTATTATTGATATCCGAGTGACCGAGTCCTTATCAATACTCCCCTGCTGGATATCAAGCTTGTCCTCAAGCTTAAGTTCTGGAAATTGTGTCTTCATCACCTGCACATTTTCCCAAGAGTTTTCAAATTCTGGAAGATCCTTCCCACTTAATCAAAACTTCTGTAGCCCCATCCTGGCCCTTCCGCATATCTATCACCTTTTCTGGAATCACCTGAAGTTCCCAATTATCATTCAAGCACTTGGGTAGAGGCTGACAAGTGGTCTTGGATGTTAAAGCTTTCTTGAGTAAAGATATATGGAACACAAGTTTAAAAGCTACCTCATTGATCTTCTCCACAACTTCAAATGGCCCATAAAACCTGGGACTTAATTTTTGATTGATTCTCTTAGCTAAACTTTTCAGTTTATAGGGCTGAATCTTCAGAAACACCTTTTCACCCACTTCCAACTTGACTTCCCTTCTGTGTTTATCAGCTTGCTGTTTCATCTTATTTTGAGCCATAGCGAAGTTTTCCTTTATTTCAGCTATCACGCCATTCCTCTCAGCTGTTAGTCTAGCTACTTCATCAATAGCAGTCATTGATACATCTCCTCTAATAACTGCAGGTGGTTCTTGTCCATATAGAGCCTGGTAGGGAGTCTGTTTCAGGTATATATGGTAATTGGCATTGTACCAATATTCTGCCCAGGCTAGCCATTTAGTCCATTCCTTTGGTTTCTTACCAGACATCTCAGATAGGTCTCTAAGCACCTGTTAACAACTTCAGACTGAGGGTGATAAGCTATGCTATATTTCAGTTGTGTACCAGCCAATCTGAACAATTCTGACCAAAAAGAACTTAGAAAGATGCTGTCTCTGTCACTGACTATAGACTTTGGAAACCCATGAAGCCTTACCACCTCTTTGATAAACACTTCAGCCACTACTTTAGCATTGTAGGGATGTGATAGAGGTATAAAATGTGCAAATTTAGTAAGCCTATCCACCACCACTAAGATAGTATCCTTCCCTTGAGCTTTAGGTAATCCTCCAATGAAGTCCATGCTAATATCAGTCCATATCCTCTCAGGAATGGGTAAAGGCTGCAGTAATCCAGCTGGTTTCAAAGCCTGATATTTGTTCCTTTGACAAACCTCACAGTTCTGCACATATAATTGAATATCCTTCCTCATTCCCACCCAATAGAATAGTGAAGATATTCTTTTCATAGTTCTGAAATTTCCTGAGTGTCCACCAAAAGCAGAATCATGATACTCTTTCAAAATTCTGTTTACCCTGGGAGAATTCTGAGGTAACATCAGCCTTCCCTTGTAATATAACAATCCCTTCCTCAATTTAAACTCAGTCATTTGATCAGGATGACTGAAAACCTTCTGAATGGTGTCAAAACACTTAGGATCTTCCAACAATTCCTCTTCTAGCCCATCCCACTCTTGGCAGTTCACAATAGATAAGGCTGCCAGACTGGTCTTCCTTGATAAAGCATCAGCTGCTTTATTCTCACATCCTGGCTTATATTTAATAATGAAATTGTAACCCATGAGCTTAGATATCCATTTTTGTTGATCCTCTCCCATAATTTTCTGCTCAGTCAAGTATTTGAGGCTTCTCTGATCAGTGTGGACCTCAAATTTCCTTCCCAGTAGATATGGTCTCCATTTTTGAATGGCAAACACAATTGCCATCAACTCTTTTCCATAAACAGACTTGTTTAAATGTTTAGGTGACAATTCCTTGCTCATAAAAGCAATAGGGCCTCCATCTTGCATTAGAACAGCTCCCAACCCTTTTCCAGAGGCATCAGTCTCCACAATAAAGATCTTGCTGAAATCTAGGACTCTCAAAACTGGTAGTGTAGACATAGTTTTCTTCAATTCTTCAAAAGCCTGGTTAGCTATCTCATTCCATTTAAACCCTTCCTTCTTCAAAAGTTGAGTTAAAGGTGCTGCAATATGACTGTAACCTTTAACAAATATCCTGTAGTATCCAGTCAGACCCAAAAAAACCCTTAGCTCCTTCAAGTCTTTAGGTACTGCCCAATTTCTCATTGCTTCAGTCTTACTAGGGTCAGCTGCCACCCCTTCTGCAGAGATGATATGACCAAGATAATTCAATTTTTCTTGACCAAAAGAGCATTTCTTTTGATTTGCAACCAGATCATTCTTCTTTACAGCCTCCAACACTAACCTCAAATGTTCTGTATGCTCTTCTCTAGTTTTACTGTAAACTAGAATATCATCAAAGAACACCAATGCAAATTTCCTTACAAAAGGTCTTAAAACCTCATTCATAAGAGACTGAAATGTAGAAGGTGCATTAGTTAACCCAAATGGCATCACTAGATACTCATAATGACCTTCATGTGTTCGAAATGCAGTCTTATGACTGTCAGCATCCTTCATCCTAATCTGGTGATAACCAGATTTAAGGTCCAATTTAGAAAAAATCCTTGCACCACCTAATTCATCCAGGAGTTCTTCTATAACCGGAATGGGAAATTTATCAGGTATGGTTATCTTATTAAGAGCCCTATAGTCGCCACAAAATCTCCAACCACCATCTTTTTTTCTAGCCAACAAGATGGGACTGCTATAAGGACTATTGCTATGTTTGATGATTCCAGAAGATGACATTTCCCCAATTATCTTTTCTATCTCATTTTTTTATCAAAAGTGTACCTGTAGGGCCTTAAATTGGGTATACTGGCTCCTTCTTGTATGTTTATGGCATGATCACAGTTTCTTGCAGGAGGAAACTTCAATTGATCTGTGAAGACTTCTGAAAATTCTGCAGTTATGCTGCCCCAGTTCTCCTCCTTCTGATTACCCTGTTCCATTGTATTCAACTTTCCTTCATAGCAAAGAAAATATCCATCCGCATCCTGCTGCAGGATGTTTACCATAGTCTTCACTCTTCAGAGGTACTTCCCAATTGTTCAGAATCTCTTCTTCTTTTATGGTATGCTTCTGCCCATGTTGCTTCCAATTAAGTACTTGTTTCTAAAAGTTTACCTCCACATTTCCCAAAGCAGTCGACCACTCCATCCCTAAGACCATATCTGTCCCACCAAGCTCCAAAATGTAGTAAGATTGTTGAATCACATCCCCCTGCACTTCCAATTCTATCCCATCACATCTGCCACCATTAGGAATTAAATCACCATTACCAATCTGGACTTTAAATCCTTGTATGGGAACAAAAGGAATCTGCCAACTGTTTACTATCATCCTTGATATGAAATTGTGAGTAGCACCACTGTCAATTAGAATATTCACTTGTTTCTTTCCTTCAGGCCACTTCAGAACCCCCCTCACTTTGAAAATTTTCATGGAAGGTATACCTTCCTTGCTTAAAACCGATAGCTGCATGGTTTTAATTTGCTTAGGTACCTCTCCCTCCTCTTCAGAATCTATTCTCCACTTCAGATTCATCATCTCCATCAGAATGTTCTACTAGGATCATTTTGTAATGTCTCATCTTACAAACATGTTCCTTACTCCAGTCTTCACCACATTTAAAACACAAGCCTTTCCTGCTTCTTTCTTGCAACTCATTTCTGGATAATCTGGGACCATTTCTATTCAGATTTTGTGCTTTCACTTCATTATTACTCTTGTGGTCAGATGAAACCTTGCCAACAACTGCAGGAGTATTAGGTGAACTTTTCCATCTACTTCCATCACCCCAATTTGGCTGTATATTCTGACTGCTGTATTTTCCTGGTCCTTTCTTCTTCTCATGTCTGTTTTTCACAAACATGGCTTCATTGTTCTTATTTTCAATAAGAGAAGCTGTATCCATGACCTCAGCTAAGGTCCTAGTACGATATAGCTTTAATTCCGCCCTGATGTCGCGCTTGAGACCTTTTAGAAATACTCCTTTCAATACTTCTTCAGTTAAATGGCCTTGAGAAGCAATGGCAGTCTCAAACTTATCTCTGTACTCTTTTATAGTTCCTTTCTGCTTCAGGCTGAATAACGGTCCCAAAGGATCTTGTACTAACTCCGGTTGGAAGCATTTAGTCAAATCTCTGGTAAACGACTCCCAATTCATGTGTTGAGCCTGGCCTTCCCACCATTGGAACCAGCTTAAGGCTTGATCTTCCATCGCCAGTACTGCAACATCGATTTTATCTTCTTCTTCCGTTTGGTTCAACCTGAAATAGCGATTCATCCTTACCATCCATCCAAAAGCATCATCGCCATTAAAGATTGGTAAATCAATTTTCCGTCCTGCCATAGTTCTATGTCTGTTACTTCTTCGATGATCGCGATCCTCATTAGTTGTCTCACGATCAGAATTATTGTCCGATCCTTCTGAATTGTCAGTACGCCTCGTATGTCTGCGGTGATCTGATCGATGTGACGTACTGGAATTATGCGATTGACTTCGCGATCTATCTGGTCTTCTCCTCTGCATATCCGCAATGCTAGCTTGTAAAGTTGTCATCATCGCATGCAATTCACGTTGATTCTTCTCCATATTTGCTTGATTCCTCTCCAAACTGATTTGTAACTCCCTTTGACTCCGTTCCATCTCCGTCATTCTTCCTTTTATTTTTTCTCTCGTTATGGTCATCCAGCGATCGAAGTCTCTGATACCAATGTTAGAACTAACGCAGGACTACAGTAAATTGAATCAACGTAATAAAGCTTCCGAAACAGTAATGCACCATCAATGAGAGTCACCGTACACAATAGTCCCAAAAGAGAAGAGAACCATTCTCTAATCTTCCAGTCCCAGCTAACTGCCAAACAGCCTCACTTACTACACAAGTTTATTCTGTTTATAGCCTCCCAAACCCAACCGAAGGTCGTTATTAGTAATAACAGTCAACAACTAATAACACTAACTACTTCCTTCTTCTAGAATAAACTTGGCCAAATCTTTTATTATTATTGATATCCGAGTCCTTATCATTTCTTTTACTCCATGATAAGTAACGGAAGAATCCAAGAAGAAAGTTTATTAATGAAAATTTAGTGAAGGAATACAGAAAGTCATGAAAGGAAAGGTTTGAGACTCTTCGAGTGGTCTCTCACTCCCAATATCCCAGTCCTGATCCCAAGTTCTGCCCCTTCATCTACTCACCACCCACCCTTATTTATTCCATTTCTAATGGGCCAGCCCACTTCTAATAAGTTATAGGGCCTAAACCCTGTTATTGAACAAAATTAAAATGACTTAATAAGGCTCTAATTATTGCTAGTGTTCAGGTCCCTAACATCACTCCCCCCTCGAACTTCCACCTTGTCCTCAAGGTGGATGATAAGAGACTGATTTGGCATTTGCTTTCAGCAGGTTTGCAGCTTCATTCCGTTCATCTAGCTGATCTTCTGTTCCCTGCACTTCTTCTGGCTCTTCCATCAAGATAAATTGATAATGTTTCATTCCACAAACATTTTCTTTGCTCCATTTGTTTCCACATTTGAAACATAAGCCCTTTTTACTTCTTTCCTCTAACTCTAATTGTGTCAACCTTTGGCCTCCCTCCCATGTCTTATTCGGTTTTGGTGATTCCTCCAGTTTGTTCTCTGAATATGTTCTCTCCGGAGTCACAACAGGTGTTCTTCCCTTTGTTGCTTCCACCCAGTTCAAGGGTCTAACAATTTTCCCTACCTGTTCCTTCCAGCCTTTTTTGTCTTCTTCTTTATTTTGTTCTCCTTTTGATGTCATGTTTTTCCGTTCAACAAGCAGGGCTTTGTCCATGAGATCAGTTAACCCACTGGTCTGGTACAACTTCAGCTCTGTGCTAATTTCTTCTTTGAGGCCATTGAGAAATACTCCTTTTAACATCTCTGGGTCAGCAATTTTGAGGGGAGCTACAACCATTTCGAAATGATCCCTGTACTCCATTACAAAATTAGTTTGCTTACTTTTGAGCATCAGACCAAACGGGTTCTGAACTAAATCCGGCTGGAAGCGTCTGATCAAAGCTTCCTTAAAATTACCCCAGGCGTGGTCATCGGTCTGTTCATCCCACCCATTGGTACCAATTCAGAGCTTTTCCGACCATGGCTATCAGATTATTTCTACTTTGTCCTCTTCTGCCACATGGTTGAGTTTGAAATAGCGTTCAACCCTGATAAGCCATCCATATGCATCCTCTCCACTAAACAGAGGTATATCCACCTTTCTTCCGGTATAAACCCGGTCGTTAATTCTTGTATGCTCAGGAGCACGAGAAAGGGATTGAGAATCATGAGGGTTACCTTCGGAATTGGACGAACTCACGCTGGCAGAAGTCTGGCGTCGACGATTGGTGGTCGATCGTCCTCTTATTCTCTTGTGACTGCCCTGGACTTCGAGGCTTTGCATCTTCTCTAGCAACAACTGTACTTTTTCATCCATCAAAGCTTTCATCTCAGCGCGCATATCGTCCATAGATCGCTCCAGCGATATCTCCAAATTATTTATCCGTTGCTCCATGTTCGATCGTGTGAAGACCATACAAAGGTGCAGCGATCGTAGGCTTTGATACCAATGATAAGTAACGGAAGAATCTAAGAAGAAAGTAGTAGTTTATTAATGAAAATTTAGTGAAGGAATACAGAAAGTCACGAAAGGAAAGGTTTGAGACTCTTCGAGTGGTCTCTCACTCCCAATATCCCAGTCCTGATCCCAAGTTCTGCCCCCATCTACTCACCACTCACCCTTATTTATTCTATTTCTAATGGGCCAGCCCACTTCTAATAAGTTATAGGGCCTAAACCCTATTATTGAACAAAATTAAAATGACTTAATAAGGCTCTAATTATTGGTAGTGTTCAGGTCCCTAACACTCCATAGCATTAAAACCCAAACCTTCAGTCGTGCAAAATTGATACGGAGTAGAAGATAAAAAGACCAAGAAGGAAATACTTACATAGAAACAAACAAATGCTTCCACACGGGGATCTCTGTCACAGAATCATTTCATTTAATGCACTGGTAAGCATAGGTTCCTATTAATACTACCTTTCTCTCTCATACACGCACGGGTATATACATAAACATACATATGCATGGGTAGCCAGTCATGGTAACCAATCAAACATTAGTTAGATAAATTGCTCAACTAGAACAAGCAAGCAAGAACTTACGTTCAGTTATTAAAACCCAAGTTATTCAACATTTCAACAAAAGAGAGAATAAGACCAACCATGAACCGAGCAAAACAAAGAAACCATCTTGAATGTTTACACATGAAGTTAAGACATTATATTCAAGGTAGAATATGAGAGAGAAAGACAACATTCAGACTGATACTATTCATGCAGAAAAAGTTCACACCTGCAGCCGTGATGAAAGATGAACTTCAGGAGAGCCTACAGAAGTCCCATGCTTCCTAATTTCAAAATCCTGAATTGCATTCAATGATGGTCTCCTTAATGGCTCAATAGCTGACAAATGAGATGATGGCATCCTCTCGAAGTTTTCTCCATCCATTTGATGACAAATCCACAAGAAAAATTTAAAGAAGAAACTAAGGGTTAAAGATTTACGAAATTCAACCATTCCACCAGGTGCATTTTCCTTCAGCACGATTTCCTCTTTCAAAGATTCTAAAGCGCTCTTCAACAGCTCTTTGTCCCAATTTTTCCCAATTAATAGATCTCTTGTTTTAGATGCAGAAAAAGAAAGAGGAGCAACCCCCCCATATACAAGTGATGCCTCTACAACAACCCAGTTCTCTTTCCTCCTTTCAAGAAAAACACGCATCCCTGCATTGACAATTGCAATATCATCATCCCTCCTGTGAGCTTGCTTGAATTCTTTCACAAACTCAAACGGTCTACTCCATGGTAAAAACACAGATAACAAAACTTCATTGCTTGCCAGGTCCACTTTGCGATAACCCAGAAAGAAATTTTCAGCCAATGACCATCTGATATTTCCCTTGCAGTCTATGATTTGCAGTTTTGCTCCAGCAGCCATCCAAAGAGGATTTAAGTCTGATATTGGACTGGCAGTGCAGATGTTCCCTCCAACCGATGCAACATTCCGTATTTGTGTTCCAGCAAACCACTTTATCTGCTCCATGAGAGCTCTACATGAAGAAGTTTCATATGGATCTCGCTCAGTACAAGCCCTTTTTAGTAATTTAACAAGCTGTGAAAGCTTAACTGCAGCACCTACTGTTATGCCGCCATTTTCAACGGTTAACTTATTCAATTCAGGAATGTGACCAACAGAGATTAAAACAGGATATTGTATTCTTTTTAGTCTCATTTCAATCCCAACCTCTGAATTACCTACCACGAGTTTTGCATTTGGGTATCTTTCCTTAAGATCTAACATCTCTTGAAGTTTCAAGGGTCTATACCACCTTAATCCATTTGACCCACTCAATCTCAAAGATGACATTTTCCTCAATAGAAGTTCAGGAGGGAAAATGAGCTCTTTCTTGGTGTAAGCAGTTCCATCAATCTCACTATAAGATATTGGTCTCAAGCCACAACCATCACTTGTGTGTTTACTGTTCTGTTCCTCACGTCCATCTTTTGAACCACATGAACACGGCTTACCTGTTGAAGGACAAAGAAACTCTGAATCACCTCCTGATAATCCATTGGTGTACATAGCATCATTAGTTTTGGAAAATACTCGAAATGCATCCATTATAGGTCTGTAACCAGTGCATCTACATAAATTTCCTGCAAGGCTTTCTTCAATCTGCTCTTCAGTAGGAGGTTCTTGAGATGATCTTAACAGTGCATACATGGACATAATGAAACCCGGAGTACAAAACCCACATTGTGAGCCATGAGCACGGGCTAATGATTCCTAGGACAGCACAGAAATTATCATTCAAATCAGAGTGTAGTAATCTTCATGAATATCTTATATGTAGTATTAATTTACGATTCTAATTATAGGAAAAGGATCGGAGCATAAATGCAGAGATATACCTGGATTGGATGCAAGCCATGCCTGATATTCCCAACTCCTTCTACAGTAATGACATGCATCCCTTCTACTGAATATAGAGGAGCCAAGCATGCATTAATCGCATGATGCCTAGAAATGGAAACGCATAGTGAGAAGGGTTGGTTAATTCATATGTACAGATTAAAACAACACCAATGTTGGCATCCAAATGTGTCCATTATATTTGATTAAGCAAATGCAACAAAGCAAGCATGACGTCCAACATCTTCACTATAGTGCAAAAAAGTTGTCGGATGGTGAAAAATTGAGCATAAGAACATTAAAAAACACTGAACTTGATTCTATGTTTGGTTATGGATAACTTGATAGATAGCTTTTTCTTTTTCCTTTTTTCTGTTGGATGCAAGTACTTTTGTTCCTTTAAATGGGACTTTTTTATGAAAAATTATCACCCCAAACACTCATGTAGGCTCATAGCCCCTCATAAATGCTATTGTTTGTGTGCAGGTAATATAACAGCCTAGATCTAATAATAATGAAGAGTCCAAATAAACATGTAGATGATAAATTTCTGACCGAGAAGCATAGTAGATCCATAGAGAGACTTGAGACTTACATGCATTCCTTTGAGTTCAAATCATAACAAGAGACCATTACTGTGCATGCCCCACAACCACCTTCACCGCAGCCTAGCTTTGTCCCAGTCAGAGCAATATCTGCAATGACACAGTTTGCAACTAGTGTTATTCCTAAAAGCTTTTCGTTGTACTTTTCAAGAATCTTTCTTTAAGATACTTCTTCCCTTTTTCTATACCTTCAACTATTTTTAAGTCATTTCCAACATGTTTGGCAAAAAAACAGATTATAGATAGGAAACGTTTCATACATGTTGAGCTTTACATGGTAGATCCAACATACAACCCTCATCCTTCCTAAAAATGGAGAGATAGGAATAGCACTTTTCTGCATTTCATACATGTTGAGTTTTAAATGGCAGGTCCAGCATAAATGATACAACCCTCATTTTTCTTCAAAAAAGAGCTACAGACCATAATGTGCAAAGAGGTCACTTACAAGTCATTATCCTGATCATATTCTTCACTGTATTTGGTGGTTTGACAAAATTCATCATGGTTAACCTTTTTCTGACAATTTACAAAAACTTAAAGCAAAAATAGTTTCTTTTGTCAAAAAAGATGCTTTTTTGGGTACAAAAAAAATATTTCGAAAAGAGATTGTGTTCCTTGTTGAGTAGAAGGACCCACTCGGACTATCATTTGAGATCCATAATCATATGCGCAGATGGATGGAGCTTAGCCTAATCATGATGCCCGTGAATATTAACCACATCTGTTCCTGTCTACTGTTTCATTTCTTTTTCCATGATTAGCCCACTAACGCCTGCTTAATTTCAATCTCATTTTAAAAATAAACTACACAAATGAAGCGGAAAAGTCTTCCAGCAGCTTAATTAAATTCCAGTTCTTTGATAAAGAATCTCAGCCCTGTCCCCAAAAGACACAACTTTTTCATAAATTCAAAATTAAAAGAAAAAGGAGAAGATATAAACGAACCCCTTAGATACTCAAGAAGTGTCAAGTGGGCCAAACCATCAGGCAGTACTCGTCGGATCCCATTGACGTATAGAATAGCTTCATTTGATCCGCCAGAGACTGTCTCGCTCCTCAGAGAACCCATTTTTTCTGGAATAAAAATGACACCAAAAACTACCGGGAGAGAAATTGTGGCATGGGATATCAATTATTGCTGCTTGGATGGAGAAAAGTCAAAGTTTAAAGCTTAAAGATGTCCCGCTGACTTACCCAAGACACTGCGTCTTCTGCAGAGTGAGTCGGTTTAGCTCGTGACTTTGGCCGAGAAATGGCAGAAAACACTTATCCGAATGTACATCTAGGAAACATGCACCTACAATAAACTCACTGCGAAATGCTGACTCAAAATGCTGGAAAATGTTGACTCGTGTTTCGTGTAATGTCTGATCATATCAAATCCTGAACTCTGATGGTGTACCATGTACTCACTGGCTCCTAAAATGAACTCACATTTGGAGGTAGTGCCTACGTTCCTTATAAGTTTGTTCACTTTCATTCTTGGTTATCCTACAAATTTTGTCATTTCTCCTTTTAATCAATCAATTTTTGACTTTTCTTATTTCTCTCTCCTCTATACAAATCTTTACCACACAGTTTTTACATTATTATTCTACGTGTCGGTCAAACTTTGCAATCCTTCTAGAGAGGAGATTATTATTTTTGGTAGCCACATTATCGTAGGTGAGATTCATATTCCAAGTCACCGTCAATTGGGCGTTCTTGTGTGCTAAGAAGAGATTAGCACTGATCTCTTCATCAATCAAAAACATACTCCCTCCGTCCCTTAAAACTTTGCCAAGTTTGACTGGCATGGATGGGATTAATAACGTAAAAATTGTGTGGTTGAGATTTGTGCATATGAGAGAGAATTAACTGGAAGCACAAATTCTTTACTTGAAAGGGAAATGGCAAGTTAGTGGGACATCCAAAAAAGGAAAGTTGGCAAAGTTTTAAGGGACGGAAGGAGTGATTTTCTTCTGCGCCGATATTGAGACGGATCGCCCCCTCCTGAACCACCGCCGTTCCAGGAAGATGAGATCATTTGGATTGCTTTCTTTTCGGTGCCTGATGAAACCGGAACAAATTCTAGAGTTGGCTCCTTACACCAGATGTCACGCCCCGGACCACATCCGAGCCACGTAGACAACCGCCGTACAACCTGATAAGAACAACAACGGTTCATCCCTATTAAGTTGTACAAGGCGTCCGATTGATTCTATTGCCAAACCGATTAGTAAACACATACAATCAACATCAATATCATAATCAAACAAATGCGGAAATAATAATATGTTTGATACTTAGCCACACGTGGCAAACACGGGCATGCAGGCCCCCAACTGTTTTAAGGAAAACATTGTTCAAATATCCATGAGCAATTTATAAATTTCAAGATACGAATGGAAGCACGAACCACGTCTTCCTCCTCGAATGATCACCCTAGGCAAAGGTGCAGGTAGTAGGACTCTAGCCTTAACCTGAAAAATGTGAGGGCCCCCGGAGGGGTCAGTACTCCATAGAAGTACTAGTGACAAGCACGCTATATGAAGAATAACTAATGTTTCAGACACGAGACCCAAAAATAGGGTGATACATATATATATATATATATGTCTCTCATCCACCCGATGATACATACTGTATATAAACTCGTAAAATACTCAACCCGAAGGTCATTTACCTTAAAGAGTCTTTTAGAGATAAAGTTCTTACCTGACTTTTCTCACTCCTTTCCCGGTTGCCTAGCTCACAAGTTATAGTCTACCTTCGATTCATACTACCGAGTGTTTTAGGATCATTTACCGTCCAAGGCACTCAACCCAACCTGGAGTATTTAGGATCATTTACCGTCCAAGGGTACTCGGCCCCACCTTGAGTATTCTGGATCATTTACCGTCCAAGGGTACCCGACCCCACCTGGAGTATTCTGGATCATTTACCGTCCAAGGGTACTCGACCCCACCTGGAGTATTCTGGATCATTTACCGCACAAGGGTACCCGACCCCACCTGGAGTATTCCGGATCATTTACCGTCCAAGGGTACTCAATCCACAGTCTATCATCTACCAAATCCTAACCTGGATATGGCTAACCTTTCATTCCTTTAACTATGGACAATGCCTAGCCCTATAGTCATATAACAATCCTTAGGAACCATCGTGCGCGGGTCCCACCTGAACGGTCCACGTTAATCTACTCAAAACTGCCCGTTTTGAGCATAAACCAATACTCGATCGAGTATCTACCCATACTCGGTCGAGTACAGGAGACAGTAGCCCGCAAAGCTAATTTTCAATGTATACTCGATCGAGTATCTACCCATACTCGATCGGGTATAGGAGGCAGTAGCCCCCTGGGCAATTCTTCAGCAAATACCCGGTCGGGTACGTGTCAATACTCTGTCAAGTATGGCAGTTGACTTGGCGGTCAACACCCGTTTGACCACCCAAACGGAGTCCAATTAATGTGAAATTTTACACACATGTACTTCTTGACGTCCTCAATCCAAAAATACAATTTTGGATCCCTCGAACATCGCACATAATAATGTATCACATTTTTAGTCATCAAACGTAAATAACATGTTTTTCAACTATGTTTTATATATAATCATGGCATAAGCAAATACTTGATTATCCTTAATCATTCCATAAAACATATTTTTGATTACTTTAGGTAATCTCATGCCTCACGCAAAAGTTATAAAGCATAAAGCCGTCTTCTCACCTTAATGAAGCTTATGAAGTTCTAGCTTTCCCGATTTAGCTCCGGTGAAACTCCGACGAACTTCAACGAACTCCGGCAACAACTCCGACGACCCTTTCAACTCCGTGGAAGTTCCTTGAATACCTTAGACAAGTTACTAACAAGGTTTTATTATCATAAAACCCATAGTAATACAAATAACCTCCAAAGGTTATTTTCCGGCGAACCGGTCACTTTGGCTTCTAAGTCCGTTCTTGGACCTAGAACTACCTTCTAACCCCTCATTCTACACTTCCAAACGTGTAGAACAATCCTAGGGTGTGGAATATAATTGTATAATCATATAAAATGATTGAAGAACAAGAAATGGGATTAGTGGAGTCATTACCTTGTAAATCTCAAGTTTTCCTTCCTAACTTCCCCTTTTTTCTTCCCTTTTTCCTTCCTTCTTCCTCCCTTGTTCTTGGTGCGTGTATGGATGGTAACAATGGAGTTTTTCAGACCTTATCTCTCTTCTTTGAGTGGGTTGGCCGAGCTATAGGAGTTGGGGTGATTGAGAATGCCTTTTTGGCATTTCTCATAATAATATATTGGTCTCCCAATCAATTTCCTTCTTGCTTCCCTCTGATCTTGTGCGGCTCCTCTGGCAATTTGCATGACTAAAAACGTGGGTTGGCCCCCACTTATGGGGGAGGTCAACCATGTGTGTACCCGAGTGTACAATCCGTCCCGAAAGTTGTATTTTCCGGACTATTTTAATTATATTTTATTTTATCGGGTCAAATAAAATATAACACTTGTTCCCAATCCTTATTGGACCTTAGAGGGAATATGTACTCCTAACCTTAATTTAGAAGTCTCTGAAATCCATTTTCGGACTGTTATCTCATAAATTGCCGATACTGATAATTTGGCCCCGTTTGACCAACCGGTCAACCCTATGCCATTGACATGACTCAATTAGGATATCCACCACCATATACATATTATCTAGGCCAAGATTAATATAATATGCGGTCCCGACAGTACCGGGCGGCCCCCACTTCCGGTGTGGGCCCCACGTGAATTTTACTATTCACGTAACAGAAATGATAAAAATTTACAATCACGTAACAATGCTTTTATTCATTTCTCAGGGTTCAATACATAATTTGATATAGTAGAAATACTTGGGGGCGGTGTTACAAGTTCTACCCCCCTTATTTGGGATTTCGTCCCCGAAATCCACGCGTCTAGTCAAACAGAAATGGATATTGTTCCCTCATCAGGGTCTCCACTTCCCAAGTTTGCTCCTCGACACGATCACTCTTCCAAAGTACTTTTACCATTGGCACCTCTTTGCTCCTTAGCTTCTTTACCCGTCGGTCTATGATCTTTACCGGCTGCACCGTATAGTGTAGATCTTCTCGGATCTCCACTGGTGGTTTCTCAAGGATATGTGACGGGTCCCGCACATGCTTCTTGAGCATAGAAACATGAAACACATTGTGAATCTTCTCTAACTCTGGGGTCAACTGAAGTCGGTAGGCTACAACCCCAATCCTTTCAAGGATTTTGAACGGACCTATGTAGCGTGGGTTAAGCTTACCTCGACTGAGGAACCTGATGATCCCTTTCCAAGGTGATACCCTCAGAAATACCTCGTCACCGACCTCAAACTCCAACGTCCTCCGACGTTTATCAGCATAGCTCTTCTGCCGGTCTTGGGCAGCCTTGAGCCTATCCTGTATGACTTTTATCTTCTCTTTAGTGATCTCGACTAGCTCGGTGCCCTCGAGCTTAGCCTCGCCGACCTCGTCCCAACACAATGGTGTCCGGCATTTCCTCTCATACAATGCTTCGTATGGAGGCATGTCTATACTCGCCTGATAACTGTTGTTATAGGCGAATTCCACTAAAGCCTACTGATTATCCCAGCTTCCTTGGAACTCCGAGGCACATGCCCTCAACATGTCCTCCAAAATTTGAATCACCCGTTCAAATTGCCCATCCGTTTGAGGATGAAATGCGGTGTTAAACCTCAATTTTGTACCCATGGATTCCTGGAACTTAGGCCAAAACCGTGATGTGAAACGTGGGTCTCTATCCGATACTATAGTAACTGGAACCCCATGTAGTCTCACAATCTCATCTGTGTACAATTTGGCCAATCGCTCGAGCGTATAGGTAGTGTTGATAGGTAGAAAATGAGCACTCTTGGTCAGCCTATCGACTACCACCCATACTGCGTCGTAGTTCCTAATTGTCCGTGGTAGACCCACAACGAAGTCCATGGTAACATGCTCCCACTTCCATTCTGGAATGGTAAGTGGTTGTAGTAACCCTACTGGGTGTTGGTGCTCTGCCTTAACCTGTTGACAGGTAAGGCAACGACTCACGTATTCTGCAATCTCTCTCTTCATCCCCGACCACCAGTAACTTTCTTTCAAGTCCCAGTACATCTTTGTACCGCCCGGGTGCATGGCATACGCAGATGAGTGAGCCTCCTCAAGGATAGATTTTCGGAGCTCCTCATCCGATGGCACACACACTCGTTCCTTGAATAGTAGAAGTCCATCTTCCCTCTCACGGAAACCCTCGACGGGCCCCACAAGCATCCGTTCCTGGATTTTCTGAAATTCCTCGTCATTGCCTTGACATGTTCTGATTTCATCTGATAAGGTGGGTCTCACCTCGAATCTGGCCAATAACGCCCCATCCGTGGATACCTCCACGCGTGCCCTCAATGCCCGTAAGCATGTGA